CRGATAGCAAATAAAATACTACGTATTCTCAAGGTAAAATACTACATATCCTTAATCTTCTCTAACATTTTTCTGCTCTTCTCTGGTATGTGACCATACCTGTGGCTGAAGACTTAAGAAAGCAATGCAGTCACTTCTGGRGGAAGAGGTTCTGTCTCTCCAAGCTCTCTAGCCCAGGAGAACAGACAGTAACTGAGGATTGTGGCAATTAACATGGTCAGAGAAAACAAGACAGGGCAGGTGCTAAAGTGCCATTTAGCCACATGCTGGAAGGTCACAGCTTTATAAATCCAGTTCTGTGTCATAATTAATGGCAAGATGCTTGTGACACATCAGTGTTAAATGGAGAGATGGGATACTGTACAGACGTGGAATTTGGTTTTCTGTCCTCACTTTTTAGATTCACAGTAGATGCAGCTGGCTGATGAAATTATGGGTGACATTTCCTTCTTCAAACATTTAGACATTTTCTCCATTTCTGCACTGGGTTTATACTAGCAAATAAATGGAGAAAAAAAATGTCATACAAGTATTTAGGGGAACTTTTCTTAGGTTAAGTCTGCCAACCTTATCCAAACTCTCCAAAGCCCAATTTTATTGTTAAAAAATCTATGTAGATCTGTGTAAAAAATGAACTCAAATCCCTTACTTTTCAATTAAGATCACTTGGAATTCTAGAATTCTCACAGAATCACCAAATTTGGAGGTTGTGAAACCCCAACTGTCAAGGCTAAATAAGATACACTCAACACAAAACTGTTATTTACGTATTCTAAAGTAGGGTCCCTGCCCTGGTTAGGCAGCACCTGAATCTAATTTTTTAAAGAAGTTGAAGAATATATACTGAGARGAGCCTGCAGTAATCAGTTCACTCCCCACAAAGAAGCGTCCAGGACCAGGGGCGTCACCTGTGACCTCTGCCAAGCACTACAAGAAGGAACRCCAGTCTTTCTCAGTCTTCCAAAACTCCGAGGAGGGAAGGAAAAAAATTAAAGATCAAATGAAAATGGAAAACTACAGGCCAATATCTCGGATTAACACAGACGAAAAATCCTCAACAAAACGGCAGTGAATCAACTCTAGCAGCACACTGAAAGGACTACACCTGGGCCAAGTGGGCTGTGACTCTGGGGCAGGAGGACAGCTCACCCTGTGGGAATGGGTCACACCCAGCTAATGTGACCTAGCAGAGTTTGGTAAAACTCCACACCTTCCATGATACAGACTCCCAAGGAAGTGGAAACAGAGGGAAGTTAATCAGCATAATAAGCCCACATGTGAAAAGCCCCCAGGTAACACTCAGCCTGAAAAACTGAACACTTTCTCTCCAATATCAGGAACCAGGCAAGAATGACCATAGCACTGGTGGACCTAAGGAAAACAGCCAGGCAATAAATGGGGACCAGAATTAAAAGGCACCTAGATYGGAAAGGAAGAGGTAAACTGTCTCTGTAGACAACAAGATCTTATATACAGAAAACCCTAACAATGCCACAGAAATTGTCAGAACTAATAAATTTAGTAAAGTTGCAAGACACAAAATCAACTACAAAAACCTGTGGCATTTCAATACATAACAGTGAACTATCTGGAAAGGAAATTAGGAGAACAATCTCATTTATCACCAAGAAGAATAAAACACCTAGGAATACTTGTATTCTAGAAACCACAAGATACAAACGAATGCAAAGACACCTCTGTGTTCAGACCACAAGAATTAATATTGCTAAAATATCTGTAGTACCCAAAGCTAAATACAGATTCAACACAATCCCCATGAAAATTKTAGTGGTAGTTTATATAGAAATAGAAAAGATCAGTTCCAAAATTCATACAGAAAACCGAACATGAATAGCCAATCAATCCTGAGACAGAAGAGCCAAGCTGAAGGCATTACTCTTGCAGAGGTTCAAGTATGATGTTACGAAGTTACAGCAATCAAAACACAGGGTACTGAAGTACAGGCAGACAGCCAGACCCAAGAATGGGACAAACCTGCTTAGATGGGGTCAACTAATGTGTGACAGCGTTACCGGAACCCACGGTGGAGAAGGTAGGTACAAGCGGTGTCAGGAAAACTGAATATCCACATTCACAAGAACAAAGCTGCACTCTGGTCTTACACSATACACAAGAATCAATTCAAAGTGGATTGAAAACTTAAAGTGAAAGACCTTGAAGTACAAAACTCTCATTAAAAAGCAGCGGAAAACCTTTAYGACAGTGGTCTCAGCACCTATTTCAGGGATATGACACTAAAATCACAGGCAACACAAGAAAAACGAACACATGGGACTGCATCACACTAAAAGGCTTCCAGTGCCAGCAGAGCCCAGAGGGGAGGCTGGGCAGACACCAGCTCAGAGTCTGCACTGACACTGGACATCAACTCCTCATTTCAAGTTCTCTGAGCCTCCACTGTCGATCACTGTGGGAGTGACTGGAGACCAGAGATGACAAGGCACAGCCCTGCTTACTGCACAYTTCCAGAAGAGACCATGAGGCTGCAACTGCAGGAGGGCTGAGTGAGCCCCCGCAGAGCCCATCAGGACGGCTTCTCCAGGGCCAAGACAGGGGTCTAAGACCAGCAGGGGACCCGCCCCACTGCACCTTTTTAAATAGTTAACATTTTATTCCTAATGCAATAGAAAAGCTTAATTTTTTAAAATTGTGGTAAGAGCGCTTTAAAATGAAATCTACCTTAATCTATTTTCTTTCTCTCTTTTCAGCAGTGCAAGGTAAGTGTCCTACCACTGAGCTACACCCCAACCCCATTTTAACAAATGTTGAAGTGTGYGATAYGTTATTACTGAATACAGATACAATTTTGTACAGCAGATCTTTGGAGCTTACTCCTCGTTTGATMGATAAGCCAGCCCCTGGCAACCAAYACTACGTTTTTCTGATTCTATGAATTTGAGTGGTTTAGAGTCCAACTATTAGTAAATCCATGCAATATTTGTTTTTCTTATTTCACTCAGCATGATATCCTGAAGACCCTTGTGAAATATGCCTTGTTTTTTGTTTTGTTTTTTATTTTAGTGGTACTAGGGATGGAACCCAGGGCCTCATACCTACTGAGCAAGTGCTCTGTTACTGAGCTACAAACCCAGCCCAGACATTTTTTTATATTTCAGGGGATCCACAGACTTTCCTCCAAGGAAAAAAACCCTTGGTTCCCTGATCTATGTTGTGGCTCATATAAATGCTTATATGGAATTGTCATTTAGCATGCTTTAAATATTTTTCCTTTCCTTCTTTTTTTTTTTTTTTTTTGAAGCAGGGTCTCCCTGTGCCACCCAGACTGATCCTGTACTCCAGGATACCCCTTCTCAGCATCCCAGACAGGGGATCTCCAGGTGTGCACCAGTATACTCAGCTTAAATGTTCAAGAGACAAAACGTGCTGCCATAARCCCAGGGAGGGAGCTGGGCATGGTGGTACACGTCTGTAATCCCAGCTACTCAGGAGGCTAAGGCAGGAGGACTACAAGGTCGAGGCCACTCTGGGCAACTTAGTGAGACCCTCTCTCAAAAACTAAACTAAAAACCCCAAATAACAACAAAAATATCTCATGAGGGATAAGCTGATAGAACCTTGCTCACTCTAGCTTTGTAACCAGAAGGCACATTAACTATTTTACAGCCCAGTCCCATACTAGGAACACAACAAACAAGAGCTATGGGCCCTGCCACACTAAAGGAGGGTGAGGGCCAAATAGGGAACACTGGTKTGGCCTGAGTGAGGGGTTCCAGAGTGGAAGCAGGGAGCACAGTCAGAGGACACACCAGGTTGGGGAGGAGGCACCTGGTTAGACAGTGGCTGCTGGGCTGCCAATGGGAGCAGACTCAACGGGGCCTGGACAGCAGGCAGGAGCCAGAGTCGACSCTGAGGCCCCTGCCTGGGGAGACAGGGTGAGAGGGCTGGTGGGCAGAGGCCACTCGTGGACACCGTGGTCTGTTTGCTTGTGGGATATGAAGAGGCCCTATCTAGCCGACAGCTGGGTGCCTGGCCCTGAACTTGAGAGATTTGTGCTGTAGATCGGGAGCTGGAAGATAGCCAGAAACACACCCTGAGGGAAGAGTCCAGGGTGGAAATGAGGACCATGAGGAGTGTGAAGAGGCAGAAAGAGGGATGGGTGACAGAATCAGCAGAGTGTGTCTTCCTGGGATTGGCTGCTCCCTGCTCAGGCACCACTAAAACCTGTTTTCCTAAAGATGCTTCTCTGAATTCTTTGGGCACCTTTAATTTTACAAATCAGARGAGAGCTACATAAACAAAAATGTTTACAAACATCTAAAAATATGGTCTTGCAATAAATCAAAGTCAATATGTGAAATACACATTAAAATATTTATTATTAAAAATAATAACTGGGGCTGGGTTTGTGGCTCAGAGGTAGAGTGCTCGCCTACCATACGTGGGACACTGGGTTCCATCCTCAGCACCACATAAAAATAAAGATACTATGTTCACCTATAACTAAAAATAAATATTTAAAAAATAATAACCATAAAGGAAGTTTGGGAATAAGTGCTACCTAGTGATAATGGGTGCTCTCACACATAATACCCATAATTAGAATGACAGAAATACGAAGKAAGATCATGTATCTACTATTTACATTCCCAAAACACAACACCCAATCTTTGCAAAAATGTTGCTATTTATGAAATGTTTTTACCACACTCCTATTTCTTACACAAAAGCCACAACGTAGTGGGCAGGATCTTTATTCCCTCTCTGCTAATGAAGGACGTGTACTCAGCGAGGTAAAGAGCCTCTCCGGAAGCCTCAGCGTGGGTCCTGATAGAGTCCCCTCCACTGGGCCAGGAGGGAAAATCTTCCAGCACAGACTCTGAGTGAGTGTCAGTGTGCGTGAGTGACAGATGTGGAGAAGGAGAGGGAGGTGACGGAGAGCAACTGCAGGGATCAGCCACACAGACATGTCTTTCCCAGAGGTGACCACAAACTGAGAGTGTGAGAGGTAATGGACTCACCCAATCGGCTCCGTCTAATCTCCTCTGGGGACACAGGCCGCAGCTTTCTTTCTCCTTTAATTTCTTCTAATATTCTTTCATGCAGGCTCCGAGGCCGTGGTGGGGTTGGTTTCAGTTTTCTGGCTGAAGCCTTGAAAAAAGAGTAATGGCTAGAGATCTGGATGTTCGTGCTTCAACAATCTTTCCAATATCGTTATTTATATTTCATGGACTGGACTGCTGCTTGATAACCAGTACAAGTCATTAAACATCCCGATTCCTCAAGCAACAGGAAGAGCACAGGGTTCCACCGTGCTCTGGTCATGAATGCTCTGCTCCGTTCCCCTGAAGCATCTGTGCTGTTCAAGTCACACCCATAGCCCTGGATGCTTACAGGGCAGAAGTCAGCTGCGCCTGATCATTGCCCTCACTGCTTCCCCAGCTGACGACCCTGACTGACCCACCACAACCTTCTTAGACTATTATTATTTTCTTTACTCTGTGGAAATTAAGGCTCAGAGAGGCCAATTAATGGCTCGGAGATGCGTGCCTACTGGGCTGCAGAGCTAGTGTGCCTGTCAATTTCACCTCACCCCAGGCTCTTCCTGATGAGTATTCTGACTCTGTGGTCACCAGAAGGAACCTGGTTAACAGAGGAGATAAGAAGGCCGCTGTGCTAGGTGGTAGAAGGGATGGGTACAGCAACAGGGCCCAGGAGGCCTCCTTCCTAGAAATGACCAGGCCTCAACCGAGCAGCTGTCCAGCCAGGTCTTGCACCAGAGTTGGGTGTTTTGAGTAAAAACACCCTGATAGCCTCATATTGAATGAGTTTAGTATTTTTCTATGACACTTGGGTTTCATCGTACTTAAAAGGAAAGCTCATATACACCAACCACTAGGGAAAGCTGCCTTCTAAGGAGGAGCCCTGGCAGGGAGTAGCTCTGGCAGCGAGGGGAATGTCAAGTTACATACGGGGTTTAAAGGAGGTCTTGACMTGATGAAGTCCAGGATGATCTCATGAGCGCTCTTCTTTAACCGAGGAGGAATGTCGCCATTTACCTATGGAGACAAAAGGTAAAGACCCAGCTGACCCCAGGATATACCATGGTGAACTTCTAGGTAGAAGTGTTCCCCAAATGACGATGCAAAATTGGTGAAGTGCAGTCTGGCTCCCCCAAGGACACATGTCAAATCAATAAAAAGGAGGAAAAAGTCTGTGATTCTCAGCAAAAGTAACTGTGGAACTGAGAAAACACCCACAGTTCCCATTAGTCCCACCATTTTGAGATATTTGAGACACAGCCTTCCAACCAAGTTTCTCAAATCATGCATGTGAACGGAATAAACACTGTGATTATAAAGCCTTTTATAATATAAAAAGACTTCACCTCATATTCTCACCCTTGGAAAAACCAAGCTAGCAGGAAGGACAGGTGACACACATCATATTCTTTCTGTAAATGAAACTCTAGTAGTGGAGGAGATGCTGCCCATGTTCCCAAGACCATAAGGCAGAAGAGTTACTGCAGCCCCAGTTGCCTCTCACTTAAATACTCTAAGATCTTCTCATTTTACAGCAAGAAGTTTTTTTTTTCTAATTCTTATTTTTTTTTTTTTAAGAAATATGAAAAATCCTCAGAAAGCTGCAAAAGTAAGAACCTGAACTCAGTCTGACACTCCGGAAGGCACAGCTGTGACCACTTCGCTACCTTTGCTCCCCAGTCTTGTTTGAACAAAACAGAAACTGAACTGCACCTCCAGGCCTGTGGCTTCTTCCTCCAGGCGCCCTCCCCAGGCCTGACCAAGGCTGGGTGGCCCCACAGCAAGTCTCAGCAGCAATAAYCAGCCCAGCCCAGCCAAGCATGTGGCCTGGGGGCTGGGGCTTGGACTAAAGGTAGGAGCTGCGACTTGGAAGCAGAACCCGGGACCTGATGTGACAGGGGTTTCGTGTTATATAAGATTAAAAAAAAAAATCCTTAGTGTATGAAGCAATGAGAACTTCCTATTACTCACAATGCTACTCCGGAGCAAAACAGCATCTACCTTTACAGCTGATTTTTGTATGCTTTACTCTTCTTTCCATCACAGTGGCAAGACGCAGAGAGAGCACAGCTGGCTTAAATGAGGCTGGGGTTGTGAACCCTGTCACCAAACAGCCTCCTCAGTGGCAGGAGCTGCCTCCTGGTCCCTGCAATGAATGAGGGTCAGTAGCATGCTACAGAGGACAGGAAGGTGGGGTAAGCACAAGCAGCCCTGTGAGGCCAGCCTTCTGGCAGGGCAGGATCTCCGGGTAAACATCGAGCCTGAACTGCAGAGGAAAATGTGTCCTGCGTGGACACAAACAGTAGACTCAAAATAAGTTACATCAGTTACAGAAACCTGATCTCAATTTTGAGCCAAATAACTTAAACAAACATAAAACTTCTAGTACACAAAAGGATCCCCTTTCAATATTTTAAAACATCTATCCTGAACTCTRCATTGTTTCTGAAATAATTTTATCTTTAGGTAACTGAACTTTAAACAGATAAAGGAAATCTTATTAACATATTTACAAACAMACAAGGCCAAAGATAATCTCTTCTCCTATTAAGATATATATCATGGGGCTGGCAGAATAGCTCAGTGATAACAGTGCCTGCCTAGCATGTACAGGCCCCAGGTTTGATTCCCACTCCCCATAGATACATACAATTAAATTACTGAATTGGTTGTTTAGTTACAAAGTTATAAGCAGATTACATGATAAATTTTTCTCCATRTTTTATTTGAATTTTAAAAATTTGTAAATTGGGGGTACTGCTAGGGATTGAAATGGAGAAAACCATGTTATATGAATATCAAAATTCATAAAWGCACATAACACAGACCCCCTGTTTTGATAAGGTACTGGGGGTTGAACCCAGGGGTACTCTACCACTGAGCTATAACCCCAGTCCTCTTTAAACTTTTGAGACAGGGTCTCATTAAGTTGCTGAGGCTGTCCTTGAATTTACAATYCTCCTGCCTCAGTCTATCAAGCTGCCGGGATTATAGGCATGTGACACTGTGACTGGCTGAACCCCACTATTATGTATAAATATAATACACTAAAAAATTTAAATACATCAAAAAAATTGTGAATTACAATAAATACAACTACAACAGAAATATGCTAAGTTTTTACATCTATTTTTAAAGGACAAAGTTATTTGTTAGAAATAATAAAATAAAGCATTCCGCTCAAACATTTTGGGATTAAAAAAAAAATCAAATAAAATGTTTTWCATCTCTATAATTTAATATTCCAAACAATATATAATAGAGTTGAGCCAGTCAATTGTCACAAATAGTATCACAAATATGCAGAAAGCAGAGAATTACTGTGGTACATCTATGTAGCCTAAACTTTAGGATTAAACCTAAGACACCATGGCACAGCACCTCAGGGATGCATGGATCATGAGTGAAAATGGTGTGGACTTACTCTTTACAGAAACATTTATAAAGCCAGGGACAGTGGCATGTGCCTGTAATTCCAGCAGCTTGGGAGGCCAAGGCAGGAGTATCACAAATTCAAAGCCAGCCTCAGCAACTTAGTGAAGCCCTAACAACTCAGTGAGAACCTGTCTCTAAATAAAATAAATAAATAAAAGGGCCATAGATGTGGCTCAGTGATTAAGCACCCCTGGGTTCAGTCCCTGGTACCAAAAAAAAAAAAAAAAAAACGAAGAACAAAACAAAAATCCCAACAAAATAAATAAACAAATAAATAAGCAAACTACAGCCACTAGAAAATACTGCAAAGTACTTGCTGTGTTCTAGGCATTTCCTAGGACTATGTATCTTGTACTTTTTGATACACACTGCAGCCCTATGGGGCAGGTACTTTTACCCACATTTCAAAAACGAGCAATCCAAGGCACAGAAGCAAAACAGGCAGAACCATACGGTCAGAGCAGACCCAAGACTCAAACACTAGTGCCTGCTTCCAGAGCCTCTGCTCTGGGCCACTGCACTTAGCTGCTTAAACACATTAAAGAGGTGCCTAAACTTACTCATAAAAATATGAGATTCATAAATAAGAACACATTTTTACCTGTAGACTGGTAGATAAAGTCTGACTATAGCACATCATTAGTGAAGAGCCGGGGAAAGGCTTTACTATGCATTTTTGAAAACCTCACGTGAAAGGACTCACAGGTCAGTTTTCCTATGTGGCCTCTGCTGCTCGCCACTCTGAGACTCCAGGACACTGCTGCCCACACTCCATGTGCTTGCTCCTGTTCATACTGACGGACCTTGGGTTACGCTCACATTGTTGCTGCTGCAGACAACACTACCGGGCATACTGCTGTATGCATCTTCCAGCACCACACCCTCACAGTCCATTTAAGAAATTGCCTACCTGAAGCTCATGGAGACTTGTTACCTTGCAGAAACTGACTGTTGCACATTTACCTTGAGATCTAAAGCCACTTGAGACTGAGTTTTCTCTCCTGTGTATACTTTGAGGTAAAGGTCAAGATGTACTCTTTTCCCATAAGGAAATCTAATTGAACATATACCATTTATTGAAATGCCATTCTTCCTCCACTGCTTTACAGTGTCACCTCTGTCACCAACCAAATGAACACACAGGTCCAAATGTGTTTCTGCTGTCTACTGACAGTCTGTGGACCATGGGTTCCAATAAGTGGAACCTAGCCCTGCCTTCCTAGACTGCAGAACCCTGGGGCCCTTCACTTCTGAGTCCAGTGGGTCTTTCAGGTGGTCYGTGTGCACTGTGGAGGGCCGTGGTGGTGGTATCTCCATCTCCCTCTGGGAGCCCCCTGCTTCAACATCCTCTCCTGCCATCCCTGAGACAGTCCCTTGCCCACAGGCTGGTGCGATGACCTGATCTCCACGCTCCAACATCTGGACCGCTGTGGGGCTTGCTCCAGGACTCTCCCTCCAGGCCCAACACATCTGGGATGCTCAGTGTGTCCTGTGTTCTATGCTTCTTAGACACACAGAAAAACCCATTTCTGTTCCTAGTATTTTATTTAATGAACACAYTGACTGCTTCACTTTGCAGAATGAACATCTGCAAACATCATTATATATAAAATGATCAATCAATTTTTGGTTCTGTGTAAGCTTCTCAAATCCTGTACTTCAATTCTAGTCACACGTTCATATGTAGGGGGCCCCTCGTGTGCATGAACAAAGACCCACCCCCAAGGCTAAACTCCAACCTGCAGCTCCTTCTYCTCTATCACAGTCATACARAGTAGTTGGGTTCATTTTAACAGAATGTCCCCGTTTCCCTCTTTTTTCCTCTCCTCCTTCCTCCCCTATTCTCCTGCCTCTACTCATCTCCCTTTGCTCATTTATTTGTTCATTTCTACTTCTACATGAAGGTGAAATTCCCTGTGGCACCTTTATGCATGTAACTAACATGATCTTGCTAAAATGATTCTGCAGTGCCCCTCCCCTCCCTCTTGATATCCTCCGTCTGTGCACTGATCATCCCTGAATCTTCCATTTTTTTTCTCTAGTACCAGYTTCTTTAGGATGGTGGTTTCTTTGACAAATGCTGAACTGGCTCATAAAGTTTATGGTAGGTGTAAACAGCAAGACCTGTGATGTTTACAGAATGAGGCCACTCTGCTCAGGAACAGGGTCAGCTGAGGATGCAGTGCTCCTGTGCCACCCAGGACTCCTCCATTCCATGTGAAATACTAAAACCTAAGAAGGCCTGATCTTTTGTTTGTTTTAAATATTTATTTTTTAGCTGTAGTTGGACACAATACCTTTATTTTATTTATTCATTTTTATGTGGTGCTGAGGATGGAACCCAGGGCCTCGAACGTGTCAGGCGAGTGCTCTACCACTGAGCCCCAGCCCAGCCTGAAGGCCTGCTCTTCAGGTGGAGGTGTCAGCCTCATTGAAGTACCACACGCGCACACAGAGAGGAAGTAYGTGCATGGAAGGGGCTCCACTGAGCCCCCTGCCCAGCTCAAGGAGCAGAACAGTGCCACCCCACCCCAGCCACCCGCTTCAGTCTTCCCCCAGCAGCTGCCCTGCCCAGCTTGTTT